TCCTGCATTTTGGCTAGGAACCTACGTGAGCGGTCAGACGTGTAGCAGCAGGAACTGGAAAAGTTCCTTTCCAGACCCATGCAGTGGAAGAGCATGGGAAATATTCATGGAATAGCATAGCTGCTCCTCGATTTACACTTGACCATTGCTTATCCAGCATCTTCTTAAACACCTCCAGTATATAGGTTCCACAACTTCCCTAGGCATAGTATTCCACTGCCTCGCTGTTCTAACAACGAAGAAACGTTTCCTGATGTCTAATCTAAATGTACTTTACTGCAGCTTCAAGCCATTGGTCCATGTCCTGCTTCAGCAAGAGAGAAGGTGTTTTCCCTCTGTGGCAGCCTTTCTGATATTTAAGAATATTGTGTCCCCTCTTAAGTGCCTTTTCCACAAGCTGAACATGTCTCTCCTTGTATGACTTGCCTTCCAAGCCCTTTCTTATTTGTCACCCACTTCTGGACCCTCTCTAACTTCTCCATGTCCTTTTTAAAATGGCGAGCCTGGAAGTACACACAGTACTCGAGATGAGGCCTAACTAGTGCCAAATAGAGAGGTGCTGTCACCTCTCATGTCTTGCACTTAATTGATGCAGCCCAAAATTGCGTGCATCTTATGTGCAGCTGTGTTGCCCTGCAGACCATACTGAGTTTGTGATCCACCAAGACTCCCTCCATAATGCTGCCATCCAGCCAGTTGTCACCCATTTTGAATCTGTGTTTTTGCTTGTTTTTCCTGAGGTGTAGCACCTTGTTTGCTTTGGGTCGACTCATGGCTAGGAGTGAGGTTAATTGATCAATGAGACCATTCTGGTCACAACTCAAAAGTTTTCTTAGGGTATGCCGTAGCAGAGACGTATTGGTACTAATAAAGACCAGGCTTACATAGCCTTGGATTCAGGAGGAACAGGTCTGCTGGCCAGGTGTCTTTGCTTTTCTGAGGACTTTCACTGAGTTAGGTTTTGTTTGTTTTTTCTTCTGGGCTTCAGGAAAAGTCTAATTTTGTTGCTTGCACCATGCCCAATATTTATAGATGCTAATAATTGATCTTGGATTGGTTTTATTTAAATTTCTTTTTTTCACAGGAACTTTTGGAACAGGATGGAACTGGATTTTAATGGTTCTGGGAGAGGGGTCTAGGGATCACCTTGGCTAAGGCTCTTTATTTTGGGTTGTCTGACCCCAGTCTGTTAATCAGAAGTTAATCTTTACTTTTAATCAAGATCTTGTTAATCAATTGAAATGTTTTTGAGATAGCAGAAGGAAAGATGTCT